GAAAGAAGCGGCGATGGAAGATGAAGATAACTTTAGCCATCAGTCACAGTTTTCGGAGTCAACACTAGAAAAAATTACTGAAAATGATAATTTTATTCTAATTAATAAAAATTATTCGAAATAGGAGAACAAATGTACCAAAATGTTAATTTTCCATACTAGACTACGATCACATTGCTATCTTACAGCAGGATAGTTAACAAGACTGGTGCATAAAAATGGATGCAGTAGCCTTAAAATGAGAATAGAATGAAAAAGAAACTGTAATGCAACGAACATCCAGTGGCGGCAATGGCAAATATCGTAATCTGTTCAAAACTGTTACGAGAATGTCTTTTACTGCGTCTGTGGAATATCTATTATATAAACCATCCACTACAATATACTTTGCCCTCCATTTCTTCATTACCGTCGAGCGTTGTCTGTTCAATCATCCAATTACATACACGAGTTATCCTCCTCCTGAACGGCAAACAGCGTTGTGAAAATAACATGCTTGGATGCGGAAGGGCGGTAGGGTCTCTAGCGCAAACTCTATCGCTTAGAACTGATATAAGGTTTAGCTGTTCTAGATTTGTTATAGACATTCTTGACTACGATAACAGTTCAGAAAAATGAATTTCAGTCTACCCTGCCATAAATTGATTTATTTTTTCCGGTTTTTCATCAATGGAATATAAATTATGAACATACCATTGATATTTCAAAAATTTTCATTTTACCTACTTCTGGTCATTTTCAGAGCATTTAAAACCATTGGACATTTACACTTACATTGTTACGCAGGCAAGCACTTGTGTATTTTACGCTTAAATAACAGTATTAGAGGGATCCAGTTAGACATTCACAAAATTTTATTAATTTTCTTGAACACAGAAATTTTATCGTGTTGAAATGCGTCTTTTACCGGCAAAGACAAATTTCAAGATAGCATCAAGCAGAATAAAAGCAAGAAGCTGAGTATATTTTGAATTTGGGGCTTAACCGAGTTCTCGGTTTGAGGAAGAACATTATTCGCTATTTTTTATGTATTGATTAAATTGTGAGAATAGCAGAATAAATATATTGTATCAGACTACGATCTTCGTCTATAATGGAATTACTTTAAAATACAGCATTATTCAATATTCCCGCCAAAGCGAAATGGGCTTTCTGGAAGTGAAATTTTGTCTAGCCTGTATCAGTGAGTAACGGAATAACGTTACTGAGCTTATTCTATCTCCACCCGTTTCAAATGGCTCGATAAGTTGATAAGCATCTAACTGATGTGAACATATCATAATGTAATGATTAAAAGTATATAGCGGGTACAGTGATGCCAAATGTTTTTTAAGGAATAAACTTCTAACTTCTTTAAGAAATATTTTACCTTTCTGACGGTTGCTTATGTTTGAGTCACAAAACGTCAAAGCAATAAAATTTATCATTAATGTCAAATGAGATCAGAATAACTTTTCTACACTTAATCTTCCAATTTTTATTCAGGTCTTCGTCTTAATGAGAAGACACATTCAAGCTGAAAACCGTAAAGTTAAGAAAACAACTGACTAACATTTACTGAAAATGCACTACTATGCATGAAGCTGAAAATTCAAAAATGCTCATCCTTGCATGTGAAAATACTCCTTCGATTCGTCAACGCCAGGTTTGATGGTTGGCTTGCCAGGTTTCCATCCCGCTGGGCAAACTAAAACAAAAATTTGCGAAGTTCATGTTTGTACATCAGAAAATAAAACAATTGAACAGTCACCTTTTTCGTGGGAAACAATACAGTTAACGATATTCCCCACTTATGTAAAACCACAAAATATATCACTATTCAAGTTTATTATTTCACGCAAATAGAAGATCCTTCATCATGTTGTCCATGAAGGTAAAACAGTGATTTATGAGTCAGAAAGAATCAAACGCTAGGCAAAATTCAAATTACGAAAATTCTCAAGGCAGTCCGAAATGAATGATGCAAAAAACAAACTAAAGAAAGGGTTCTTTTAAAAATATACAAAAACGTGCTGAAAATCATTAAAGACACTAAAAACATGCAGCAATGGTAGATCCACTGCAATCCACAGAAATTGTAAATAAGTCAGTTACGCATAAAGTTCCGCCAGTTTGAACAGATCTGAGTCCTACTTACTTCATGTAAATAAAGCTGATATACACATTGAATCCGTTCATACGAAGAGTTTTGTTTTGCACGCAGACCGATGATGCCTGTCATGCACCCTAATTTGGCCTAATATCAGAAGAAAGCGATGTCGACTTCATTGCTCGATGGAATCGCTTGTGCACCTTTCCACAACGGATAATCAATGTCCCATATCTTGTGTACGCTAAAAGTTTCTTAGCATTAATGGCCTTTGCCAGGAACGAGTAATGCGTTTATGTGGCACAGTTAACAGGCTCCTCTAGCAGTTGTGAACAGATCAAAAGGTATTCTTATAACATTTAAAATAGCAAAGCCGCCCATAGCAAAGGGACGGGGTCGGGACTCCTTTAAACGTAACAAACTAATGCGTTCAACATTCTGAATTAGACTTACCTTCACCGTGTTCATCGGTATAATTGAATGCCTGAAGCAGACGCAGAGTTTCTTCGACGCTTCGTCCAACCGGTAAATCGTTGATGGTAATCTGACGCAGAATACCTTTGCCGTCGATTATAAACAAGCCACTGAAACATTTCAAGTAGTCTGAATCGAATGCATTTATTTATCGGTTTTACTCACCGGTAGGCAAGACCCTGCTTTTCGCAATAAACGCCGTAACTGGAAGCAATCGCGTGGTTTGGATCAGCCAAAATTGGAATCTTCATTTCACCCAGCCCTCCTTCGCTTCGAGGAGTTTTAATCCTAAATGTATTCTTGGTTATTTGCATTTCGATGTTACGTTTAGCAGAAAAGATTCAAAGCACCCCCCCCGCCCCGTTTAAAAACAGTAACTATCACCCAATGTTCAGACGGATGACGAAATTATCCACAACTCTGACAAGTTTTTTCGCAGCACTTCTCAGATCTGACAATATATAAGTGGAATGACATACGCTCGCCGTCACCATCCACCAGATTTTCTGACATTCATAGGCATTCATCATTCGATCTAGACAATGAGTGGTCAATGAATTCTCAAACGGTAAATGGTATAAACCACTCACTACTTTTTCTTCGGGATTTACACGACTAGTCAAAATTTAAACAGACAAACCGAAATTAAACAGACTAATAGAACCTTTACACAGTGGGCATCTTTACATAATTCTCACCTATGCAAAGTATGTTAAGTCGCTTCAATACTAAATTTTAAAGTTGCTTAGTTGGACACCGATGTTTTCTTTTCACCATGCTCTCCCAACCGTACACCTAAACTGACACATTCAATCTCAATTTTTATCATGCCTCCGTACTGATAGTAAATGAAATTAACTGTTCGTGTCGAATGTGGCATTTTTCATACTGTCCTGATATTACCCTCACGTTGAAATAATATTGTTACAAGCTGCTCAATCATCATTCTTGCATAGTCCTACACTACGATCCGACCTGAATTGGAGAGAATAACGAACAAGTTCTAGTAAAAAATGAGTATACTATCAACCAACAATTTTGCTGAAGTTGCCTCTAAAAAAATTCCTTAAGGAGAATCGACCAAAAGCAACACAACCCAAAATATTTAATGGCATTGCTATCGGCGTCATATAATCTTATGCAATTTTTCGCGCACGACCTCGATTTGTTATCTTTTATTTCCAATTAAAAGAAGTCTCGGCGACAGTAATGCAGAAACAGGTTTCGAGCAACAGCAGACAAACACCAGTTGCTTTTCGCATTCGCAGCCGATACGATGATAAGCCAAAGTAAACAAAATTATTCGTAACAATTTTAGCTCAGCTTAAAAGATGGTGAAAATCAGGAAAAATTTTGTTTTTTAGTTAATTCTATTTAACCCTGAGAAATTCTGCAAAAAGCCATTGAAACAAAATTTCCAAATATTCAAAACTAATATACTAATATGACAAAAAATAAGACTTTCAAGATCCGTGCTAACATTAAATCAGTATCTTAAGATTCAGGTTAACGACCCATTGTTTAGAAAATCTTCAGAGGAATGACAAAAGTTCAAAAACGAATATGTAAAAAACGGAGAAACAAGGTCAGTGCTGAGTAATCAGGCAGAACTGGATTTACTGGCTAAATTCTGAATGCCAAAACTCAAGAGAAATAGTGTCGCAGTTAAAATCAAAGGAAAAGTTGAGATCCTTATTTCTGCCGGTTGAAGTTTCAAAGTGTTTTAGTATCCATGGAGTTATCCTATCAATTAGTCAAGGACGTGTCCTGCCTCAAAGTAGCGACAGCACCAGCTCGTCATTAAATTGCGCCTTTTATCGACATCAGGGGAAGAAAGATCCTAAATTCGTTCATGATCAACATAATCTCTTGATCATATAACTCGAATGAGATGAACTACAGTGCGTGATCAATGCTCCTGATTCAAACTGAATAATTTTTAATGTTTAGACGGCTAAAAAATCCCCGCGGTTTCACTGCTGAGAAAGAGTAACAACGTAGAACTTCATCTTTTGATGATCGGGAGAGGAAATCAACAAATGATGCAGAAAGAATTCAGAAACTCAAAACTCACGGGCCAAACGGTCATAAGCATCTGTTTTGTGTTAAGACTATCATCCTGAGTGGTCTGCATAAGCAAGACATATCTGACTTGTGACATCCGCAAACTCGCAGGTTTCAACACTCTATAAGATCCCAGTTACTCCATCGTAAAGAAAATATTCCTCTGTACCTGAAGGTAAAGATATAACAAAAAAGTAAAAACAAACATGAAGTTAATGACTTAAGACAGTTCCCTGCAAATTTGAAAACGACAAAAGAAATCGACCAACATCATAGTAGTTACTCACCAAGCCAGGTGGGAAAATTCGCTGTCCGTGGAGCACGCCAGCAATTCGCAGCCGTTCTTGTGGAATAAATCGGCACTTTCACTGAAGGAAATTATCTCCGTTGGACACACGAAAGTGCTTAAAAGACGACGACATTGCGAAATCGGGTGCATAAATTATGGGTTCAAAAATATCAACTTACAAGTCTCGTGGATAAAAAAACAAGATCAGGTATTTGCCCTTGTAATCGGAAAGTTTCACAGATTTGAAACGGCCTTTTACCACGGCAGTTGCTTCGAAGTCAGGAGCCGGTTGCCCAATTTGTGGAATCATAACGAATACACAACTCTACAATTGAAAGCACTCACGGCGAACCCAAATGCACCACACAGCTGTCATAAACTGGCTTCTGTGCGTTAAGTAGTGTAATT